CTCTATTTTCCTTTTTCCTAATGATATGCTTACCCACTAGTAAAGCAGATAGATCTATCAGGTTGTTACCTACAAATACTTTTTTCCCCCTGCCTCCCTTCACTAATCAGTCTTTTTTTTATTTTTAAATTTTTTTTCACTAATCAGTCTTAATTAAGATAGTAGAAATGGCTACTATCTTCCAGCTTCTTTACTGGGGGGAGGGCTGTAAAAATATTAAATAAATATATCTGTTATAGCTTTAATGCCATTATTTATTTTTAAACCAAAAATCTCATTTTTTCTTTAATTGTAAAACCATTTTCCTTCTTCTTTTGACTTGATCTAAGATGTATTACAGAAGAAAAATGTGTCATAAAAGGCAGTTCCTAATATTTTGCAAGAATTTTTATAATGAGAAATGTTTATGCTTCTTTGCTTTCTGACCATCTAATATTTCCATTTTTAGTTTGAATCTTTATATCTTCTCCAATATATATTGTCTGCAGAGGCTCATACAACTCTTTTTCAGGGTGCCTTTCATTGATCTTGTTTATAAATTTACTTTTCTTATTTTATAGCTTTCTCTGTCCCCAGACTCTTTTTTTGTCACCTGTATAGTGACATGCTGTGATAGTTGATGTATTGACAGGATATAATGCTATTTCACAAAATCCACAGACATTAAGTAACAAAGACTACAGCTTTAATGGAAGCTATTAATATGTATTTTACAAATATAAGAAGCATATTGAAATGGATAGACAAGCCATGCCAATATAGCATCTTGTGATGCATGATCTCTAATGGGTATGTGAACATGTAATTGCAGATTGTAAGACTTGCCTTCATGATACTTACCTCTGAATGTTGTAGTCCAACCACTCCTAAATTCTGGTTTTTTTTTTTAATTTTAAAAAGATTTTATTTATTTATTTGAGAGAGAGGGAGAGAGCACGAGCAATGGGGAGGGGAGAGGGAGAAGCAGACTCTCTGCTGAGTAGGGAGCCCCCCCATGGGGCCTCCATCCCAGGATCTTGGGATCATGACCTGAGCCACCCAAGAGCCCCACTCCTAAATTCTTTTAATAGCTTATTGTTTATCTGTTATTTTAATATCTAACTTATGTGATATTATAAAATACTCTGTGGCACAGATTTCTTAGTTACAGAATCTAAAATCTTGCCTACAATTTGCTCCTCCCTGATAATAAAGAGGTTTGTGTTGGCTGAAGACACTAATGCTCTTCATTCAGAAGCTATATAGGGAATTAGGCAGCTGCTGTCCTTGGTGATGAAATTATTTCATGTGAATTAATAAGGAAAACAACTAGTTAAAAAAGCAGGATAATCTTGAGTATACTGTTTGTGACTGCTGTTGGTATCTTCCTGGATCTATTTGAACTAGAAAAATACAGACTCCAGTATCTTAATGTCTTGAGTTCCTGACTGCCATGCAGAGGAAATGTTTAACTATTTTAATCATGTTTCTGTATCTCAGAAAGAAAGCCCTTATGAGAGGAAATGACAACGTCCTACCACAAAGTTATCTCTTATCAGTTATAGTCCCAGTCGATAATGATTTGTCAAACTTGGACATGTGTAAAATGCAAGGGCTGTGTTATTTACTTTGGAAAGGAAAAATTAGATGAAGCTGATAAAGACGGAGTCCTGGCTTTTGTTAGGAGACAGAAACCATTAGAGACAGTCATTGTTAGCTGAGGAAAGTGTCCTTGGACCCCTCCCTCTGCCCCAGCTGAAACCTAAACCTGCTTGAATCATTCTTTACACTTGAGGGGAGAGAAGGGCAAACAGGAGGGGAAGAAGAATGAAGACAACCTTGAAAGAGATTCTGCATTTTAAATGGGTAGCCAAATCTGGACCCTAAAGCACACCTATTTATGTGAATCAGGAGAGACTGAGAGACTGCCTTTTGTTCTCTTTCCCACTTGCGTTTATTTAGATTTTTGAGAGTTCATTTCTTATCCTTCCAAACGGGTGGCATTCCCTCACATATGTATATTGCTCTCCTCCTATTGCCTTTCAGTAGATGTGATTCTTTTTCATTAGTGGAAGCAGAGAAAACACATCTAGCTCAAAGCAACATGAGTCAGTGCATGCTTTACATACCTTTCTCCTCACAGCACTCTTCTTGATTCCTTGCAGTGTTCCTCACAGAAGGGAGCATGGAGGAAAAATTATTTCTAAATAGTAGGCTATTTTAGGGGTAGAGGTAAAGTTTGTGAACTGAAGCCCCATTTTGCTCCTTCTTTACTTGTCTAGATTTCTGTGGGCTGCTTTCAAAGCAGGTAGTCCTTGCTTACGAGGACTTGACTGGATCATGGTTGCGAAGGCTAAGAAATAGCAAAGCCAATACTTGCAGGTCAGGGCTAAACATTTTGAAGCTAAGGATGATGATGATGATGATGGATGCCAAGACAGAAAATAGGTTTGGTTGTAAATATTTGTTGGAGATGACAGGAGAACCTTTCTGTCCTCTCTAAATATATCTATTTTTTAGTTGGCCCAGATAAATCACTATTTTTACCCCACTAGTAGGGAGCACCATTAGTTTATTCGTCAGAGATTTTTAGGGAAACTGATCCCTAATGTGGATGTTCAGTATATAAGGATGGGTCTGACCTGTGCAGGGGCCATGGCTCTGCCTGAGGTTGGCTTAGGAGCGGTTTCCTTTTGAATGAAACTAGTGGTTCTGAGTCAAAGCAAAACAAACTGCATAAAGAAGTACATATGAATAAAGTTGTGTTTGAATTTATTTAAATTTCCTTAAACTTTTTATAAAAATATATTTATTATAAATAACCTTATAAGCATTAGTTCTAAATAAAAGAAGAAAGTTTCATTTTCTCTACAAATGTTTTTTGCATGTTTCTTATACCTTTTCATATGTATGTATAATTTTTATGTAGTTTAAATACTATCAATATAATTTTATGAATTTTTCTATTTTTCATCTTTTGAACTTGTGTTTTGCTTAGGAGGCTCTTTTTTTCTGGCAAGATAAAATAAATTTTCTTCACATTTTTACTTTGCAGTCCAACAGAGGAGACTATAAAGATGTTTTAATGTTGTGGTCATTTCAAATAAGAGTGCCTAAGTTGATTACGTATTGTCTCTTTTTGTGTTATTAAGATGAAAACGAGTGTCCTTTTGTACTCTTAAAGTTATAATGCTTTTTGATTTTTTTTTAACTACATGGTACTTATTTGTCCATAAAATGTTTTTCACAGTGATTTTGTAATGCTCACCAACTTTTCTAATTGCCTTTAAAAAAATAAATCTATGCTTATGCCATGGTGTAGGATCTTGAGCATCTTACTATCAAGCTTTGGATTTACAAGAGTTTGAGTGCTTACAGAGTATCTAGCACTGGGAGGTTCTTCTTTTTTTTTTAAATAAATTTTTTATTTATTTATAATAGTCACACACAGAGAGAGAGGCAGAGACATAGGGAGAGGGAGAAGCAGGCTCCACGCGCCGGGAGCCCGACGTGGGATTCAATCCCGGGTCTCCAGGATCGCGCCCTGGGCCAAAAGCAGGCGCTAAACCACTGTGCCACCCAGGGATCCCACGCTGGGAGCTTCTTAAACAGAGATTTAGTATGTGCTATCATGGGTGTAAAGCAAATGAACAGAGTGGCCAATGAGTTTGAACCAATACATGTAGAGAGGTGATAATTTTGGAGGGATAAGAAAGTAGGTATTGTGTCAAGTTGTAGAATGAGTAGATTTCCTTAGGAAAAATATCTTGGTGAAGAAAGCTATGTCTCCAAAGAAGAAATGAGGCTTTCTTGATGGAATAAGGAAAACTGACCTTGTAATTATCACCAGTCAGCTCAACCTAATTTAGAGGGCTCTGCTGCTTATATTCTGATGAATCCTATAGTTACCAGTGTTACAGTGAAAACTACAGCTAGGTCTTTTATTTTGATCATTTCTTTTTTTTAAGATTTTATTTATTTATTCATAACAGACACAGAGAGGCAGAGACACAGGGAGAGGGAGAAGCAGGCTTTCCACAGGGAACCTGATGCAGGACTCGATCCCAGAACCCTGGATCAGGCCCTGAGCCAAAGACAGACGCTCAGCTGCTGAGCCACTCAGGCATCCCAGTTTTGATCATTTCTTTATGCAATTTTGTCTTCTATTTTTTGCTTTATTTTGTTTTGTTCAATATTTACTTTGTGTCCTTTCATTCTCGTTTAATTCCTATAGGTCAACAATATAGGGAATAGTTTCCCTTTTCAGGTGAGGAAATTGAGGCCAAAGTAAATTGTGAGTTAGTTGCTCATTGTCAGGTCACATGATCGAAGAGTTTTAGCTCTGTGACTATCCAGTTCTTACCTAATGTTACTTGTTTTACTTTGTCTTTTGATGTCTAGATTGAATTTGTCTACATTGTTCGTATTATAATTTTCTGGTATTACTTCTAGGTTTGGCTTTTCCATTTATTGTCTTTTTACATGATTCTCCTCGCTTTTTAGCATATTTCTGTATTTTGATTGCATGGTGATGTAAATGTTCACTAATTCTTTGACCTTCAGAAGTTGGCTGGCAGGTCATTTGATTCCTTCTGTGTGACAAATTTTGGTTTTGAGTCACATTCCCACCTTCTCTTCCCTTTTGGAGTCCCATAAAATAATATAAATATATTATATATATTATATATAATATAAAATATATTTTATATATTATAAAAATGATATAAATTTAAAATATATCTGCAAAAGCAGATGCAGGGTCTGAGACACCTGTTACTCTTCTCTGTTATTTATCCTACTCTTCTGTGTCCCAGCCTTGCTGATATCTTCACAGTTTATTAATCCAAAGGCTAAAATACCAAAACTAGGTTTCTGGGAGCATGGGCTGTTTGTTTGTTCTGTGTTTTTCTCGTAGAAACTAGAGCTGGCTTTTATTTTTTACACTTGAATAGTGAAAATGAATGCAGTTCAAAGTTCTTCATAGATTTCTTTGAATGTTTTGTGACTATTTTGTTTTGCAGGTACCTGGAGCCCAAGATTTGGTGGATTTCTCTCCTGTTTATCGATGTCTACACATATATTCTGTCCTGGTGAGTCTTCATCTGGCTCTGTCTAATAAAGATGTATATTGAGTTCAAAACTCTTCTCTCTCATTTTTGAAAGTTTTTCTGTTTATTATCAAGAGTAAGAAAAAAGTTATTATTTAAGGAATATTAATTATAAAAAATAATCCTTTCTTCTCTTCTTGAATCTTTTATTTGCCAGGTAATATGACATAAGCAAATAACATTAATTTCTATTAGTCTTCAACAAATGATAAGATCATACCTAGAAATAGTTACACACTCAGATTTCTGTCCTTAATTTAATGATGTAATTTAAATAAAATAGCCTATCTTTATATGTTAAAATAATATTTATAAAAACTTTATTTTTTTATTCCTGATGATACTTATTCCTTTTGTCATATAAAAATATGCAAAGAGGAACTGTCTGGGGGGGAAGTTATTATGGGTATTAATGGTATGATAAGAAATAGCCCTTTCTCCATCTTGGTAGTATACCCACATGCAGACACACAGATACACACAAGGCAATCAAAAAATTAAAAAGTACCATCAAAGACAAGTTGATGAGAGAAGACCATTATTTATATTTTTTAATAGCAAAGTTCTATGAAGCTTTTATCAGGTTACTTTATAATATGATTGAGTGAATATTTTTGTCCATCTATTACCCATTTTCTTTCTTTATATATTTAATATAATGTCAACTAGTCATTATTCCAGACAGTTTGGGACATTGTTCTATGGCCTTCCTGACTGGAGTACTTTGAGGTGATTACCCTTAGTGTGAGAAAGACTTGGTAATTTTTTCTCCACTCCTCTCCTTCCTCCTCCTACTTCTCCTTGCTCTCTAATTTCCTCTTCCCCTCTTCTTTTTTCTCGCTCTCCACCTCTTTTCTCCATTTGTCATTCCTTATATAAAGATGGAGCAAGATATAGACTGAGTTGTCTCAAGGCAGCTCAAATAAGTAGATGATTTTTTTTCAGTCTCATATACAGAGAATTAAATAAATCAAATACATCTTAGTTGGTGACACACTATTATCATTATTTTGTATAAGTCCAAGGTATATGTAGAATACTAATTTTAACCAATTTTTAATTTTTGCTAACTTGATGTAAATTGAAGGATATCTCTTTGTTTTAATTTGTGCTTCTTTAATTACTGGTAACATTGTACTTCTCTTTATAGAGTCACTAAGCATTTAGGATTTTTCTTCTCTGAAATGCCTATTTTTAATCTTTGTTCAATTTTGTATTGGCTTTCTTATTTTGTTTTTTTCTATTTGCTAGAAAGAGAAATCTCAGAAATTCCTTATTCATTGTAGATATTGATAGTTTAGGATGTTGCAAATATCCTTTTTCCAGTTTACCCCCAGACTTTAAACTATGTGAGTATTATCTTTCACAAATAGTAATCCTTGATTTTGATGTAATCAAGTCCATTAATTTTAACCTTGTAGTTTGTACTGTTTAAGTCTTGTGTTTTTTTTTTTTAACTCCCATTCTATTCCAAGGTCATAGGGCATTCCCTTTATACTACCTTTAACATTTTTCCCATCACATCTTGATATTGATACATCTTAGATTCACCATAGTATGTAATATGAGGTAGGCATACAACTTAATTTTTTTAAGTTATAATTTTTTAATACATTATCTTTATATTGCCCATTGATTCCTGGTAGCAACTCAGGCATATACTGAATATCTAAACATTAGAATCTGGTTTTCACTTTTCTAGTTTGTTAAATTTGGTTTTGTGATACTTGTATATATATGGTAAAACAAGTCTCCTCTCATTTCTCCTCTTTTAAATTGCCTTCACTATTTATGCACCTTTATTTTCTCTGTTTTATTTATTTATTTAAAAAACAAATTATTCAAATGTAGAATGAATCTTCATAATGAAAACAGCTGTCTATATAAGTAGTTCTCTTTTAATGGAAAAGGCATCAGTACCTTTTTCCCCAAAGAAGTTAAATTGGGGCCACCTTAAGGTTATGACTTCCTTGAGGCTTATCTTCTGACAGAATCATTTTTTTTAAAGATTTTATTTATTTATGAGAGAGAGAGAGAGAGAGAGAGGCAGAGACAAGGGCAGAGGGAGAAGCAAGCTCCATGCAGGGAGCCTGATGTGGGACTTGATCCCAGGACTCCAGGATCATACTCTAGGCCGAAGGCAGGTGCTAAACCACTGAGCCACCCAGGGATCCTCCAGAATCATTTTCTACAATCATTTTCTTCCCTCTTCCTCTCCTCCTCCTCCTCCTCCTCTCTCCCTTCCTCTTCTTCCTCCTTCTCCCATTTTGTTTCAAGTTTTTATTTAAATTCCAGTTAGTTAACATAGAGATATAATATAATCTTAGTTTCAGGAGTAAGTTTTAGTGGTTCTCTCTGTATATTTTAGAATCTTTGAGTTCATTAAAAAAATCCTTTTAGAATTTTGGTTTGAATTGATTGAATTTATAGATAAATTTTGGGAAGAATTGACAACTTTATAATGCTAAGTCATGCTGCTCATGGAAGAGAAAAGTCTTTTAAATTGTTTAATTAGGCTTTGTTTCTATGTTAATATTAATAGTCTTAGGGATACAGTTTTTATTGCTGTTTTATACTTTGTTTTTAAATTAATAATTGCTGTATTGAGGAATGTTCTTGATTTTTGTAAGTTAACTTAAATCTAACAACCTTGCTCAACTCTTTTATGAGTTATTATTGTTGTTTTTTGGTTTATAATAGATTTTCTGTGTAGTTGATCATAGTGTCTGCAGATACTGACTTGTCTATTTTCCTCCTATCCATATATCTCATTGTTCTTTTTATTGTCTTATTGTATTGACCAGGATCATCATTACTTTGTTGTACAGGAAGGTTATAGTAGGCATCCTTGTCTGATTTTTGATCTCTAACAGAAAGTATCTAAAGTTTCTTCATTAACTGATGTATGCAATAAGTTTTTGGTAAATATTTTTTAGTTATTCCTAGACTCCTGGTATTTTTTAATGAAAGCATAAAAGAATGTTGAATTTTATTGGATTTGTTTTGCAAATATATTGATGCAGTTTTGTCCCTATCCCTTAGTTCATGAATGTGGTAAGTTTCATTGGAAGACTTCTGTGATATTAAATGATCCTTATATTCTTTAGATAAGTTCAACTTGCATTCTTTTCTTTTTTAAGCAATCTATAATTCAACTCCTTTTAATTTTTAAATTTTTAATCTTTTTTGTATTTATGTATATGGTTTATTGTTAAGTCTCATAATTGCAAAAACAAGGGTACTTTACCTCTCAAATAGTGTAAAATATGAAAATCGGTAGTTTGTTTAATTTAGTATTATATCTTCAGTGCTAACAACAGTACTTGGCATACAGTAGGTACCCAATAAATATTAACTGAATGAATAAGTAAGTGGTAGCTAAAAAATGCAGTACATTTGTTTGAGTGTATGCTAACTCAAACTTTATCACTTATATACTTATTCACTAAATACTTATGAATTTCTGTTCTCCATGAAATGGATTTGGAGAGCAAATGGATTTGGAGACTTATGTATAAATAAATCAAGGACTTCTGCTTTTAAAAATTTGTAGTCTATCAGGAGAGAAATTAAAATCTTTGTTTTTATTTTTTGATTTTATTATCTATTTATTTACTTATTTTAAGATTTTATTTTTAAGTAATTTCTACACCCAATGTGGGGTTTGAACTTAAAACCCCGAAATCAATAGCTGCACGTTCTACTGACTGAGCCACCAGAGACCTCTAATAAATTTATTAACTGCTATTCTATTTTCATTTCTAGCATCAACTTTAACCATCTTTATGAACAAAAACTATTTATGTTTAGATATCAACATAAATTAGTACCTACCAGTGCACCTCACACATAAAGTTTGACAAATAATGGTTAATTCAATTATTGGTAATGCCACTTCAGAATTTCTATCTTCTGATTTGCAAAACTAGACAAATTTGCCTTAAAAGCAAGTTGCATTTTCATGTTATTACAGTATTGTTCTGAAATGGCTTAGATGGGGATCCCTGGGTGGCGCAGCAGTTTGGCGCCTGCCTTTGGCCCAGGGCGCGATCCTGGAGACCTGGGATCGAATCCCACGTCGGGCTCCCGGTGCATGGAGCCTGCTTCTCTCTCTGCCTGTGTCTCTGCCTCTCTCTCTCTCTCTGTGACTATCATAAATAAATAAAAATTAAAAAAAAAAACTTTGAAATGGCTTAGATGATATATGATTGCTAGCAGAATATTAAAACCGGCATGAAAATAAGATGTTTCCTCAAGGGTTTAACAGTTTTATAAAGTGTATTTTTTTATAGATTTATTTTTTATTGGTGTTCAATTTGCCAACATATAGAATAACACCCAGTGCTCATCCCATCAAGTGCCCACCTCAGTGCCCGTCACCCAGTCATCCCCACCCCCCGCCCACCTCCCCTTCCACCACCCCTAGTTCGTTTCCCAGAGTTAGGAGTCTTTCATGTTCTTCTCCCTTTCTGATATTTCCCACTAGTTTTTTCTCCTTTCCCCTTTATTACCTTTCACTATTTTTTATATTCTCCAAATGAATGAGACCATATAATGTTTGTCCTTCTCCGATTGACTTATTTCACTCGGCATAATACCCTCCAGTTCCATCCACATCGAAGCAAATGGTGGGTATTTGTCGTTTCTCATGGCTAAGTAATATTCCATTGTATACATAGACCACATCTTCTTTGAATGACTATAATATGACAGCACTTCATCTCATCACTGTGTATCTGCTAGTTTTTGTAAGTTTTATTAAGATTTTATGGTATAGATAATGTAACAAATTTTCCTCAAATGAGAACTCTTAAAGTGATTCATAAGAGTACTGGAATAATTTATTTGCACCCTTACTAGCTGTGTGGTATGAGGCAAATTACCTAAACCTTAGCTTTCTCATGTGTGAGCTGTGATAATAATGATCTGCCTAGTACAGTTACAGATAATGTATGAATGGTGCCTCACTTCATCTATGGCAC